TCTACTGAGATATTCATATCTCGGTCGAAAGTATAAAGTATAAAGTATAAAGTAAAAATGCAAGCGATGTGTAATAAAAGAACAAATAAAACTAAAGATAACATAATTAAATATAAAAAGTTGAAATAAAAGATAAGGTATTCAATAGGATAAAAAAAAGCAACTAATAAGAGGTTATTCAGTATTATTATTATTATTCTTCATCTCACGAAAAAAATTCTACAAGTATATATAGATAATTGATTTCGTTTAACTGTTTAGTTAAAATAAAACTTTAAAAAGAAACGTCTTGATAATGTCAGCTCAATCAAATAGTGAAGAATTTTCAATAAATGATGGTCAACGTATAAGAACAACTAAAGAAAATGTTGAAGTATCATCATCTATCAATCATGATGCAAGAGATACAGTACAAATAAGTGATTATTCAATTCAATTTTCTCAATTAATGGATCGTTTATCAAAAACACATTCACAAATTGATCAATATACACAAACAAGAACAAATCAAATATCTGTTGAAACAGAAAAAATAATTAGAAAAATTTTAGAAGAAACAGAACAAAAACAAAAAGAACTTTTATTAGAAGCTCAAATGAAATCTCAATTATATCAAGAACAATATCAAAATAATTTACAAATGAAAGTAAATCAATTAAATGAAGAAAAAGCACAAGAATTAGCTGATTTAGAACAAAATTTAAATCAACAACAAGAACTTATTTTAACTAATGCAAGAAATAAAGTTGATTTATTACAAACAGAAGCAAATCAAGTTTGTTTACATTCAAATTTTTCTTTATTTTCATATATATTTTTTTTTTAAAGCGTAAAATGAATATTCTTCAACAAGGACAACAAATAACAAATGCTCAATTAGAAGATATAACTGAACAACTTGTTGAAGTTGGAAGACAAGATTCAGAAATTCGTTTAGCATCAACAACAACAACAATTATTGCAACAGAAGCTGTTGCACAACAACAACCTGAACCTATCTTAAATCAATAAACATTAAACAAAAAAGATTTTTCTACTATCGATTTATCGTCCATAAATTTGATTTATTTAGTCAAGCTTTTACTCATTTTACTTGTTGGCTTTTTTTTTTATCTCATTTACGTAGAAATAAACCAGCCAGATTTTCATGAGAAATTTCACTTAAAAATATTTATATCTTATTTATATTGATTAGAATTTTATTCGAATATCTTTCGAAATCTAATCGATTAGTATTTTATTTATATTCAATTTTATTATTATGATCTATCTTCAAAAACAACATTCATCTATTTTATGTTACATAACATTTATTCAACATAGAACACCAACAAATCTTAATACTCGATAAATTTCAACATCAATATTTTTTCTCGAAAAATAGAACTGGCTTTTTTTTTTGAGCTTCTGAACGACAATAAAACTAGAAAGATAAATGATGAGCAGACAAAACATTATATTCAACATTTTTCTTTTCAAGATTGAGATTCTAGATGACACACACTTATCGTAGGATATTCTGCTTTCGTTATGTTACATCACTAATGATTTTGACTCGAATAGATCCTATGCGATCATTTTAGTTTACAATTGAATGAGACAATTTTTTCTGTTCAGAACTATTTTATATTAAAATCTCTTTTAGATTGAATACGTTTTAGTTTTGCAATTATTTTCACTTTTCACTGAAACGATTATTACCAAAATGAGAATAATATGTCGATGAATTACAATAACTATTGGATAAAAATCTTTAAATAAAACATTATCTTATTATAGAATCGGAAAATAATGTTACATTTGAACTCATTTGAAAAGTAACATAAAGGTTATATAACAACTGTTAACAGTCCTCTCTCTCATACTCTGATCCACAGGACAGAGTACAAAAATGTTGCCCTCAATGACCATCTATATTATTCATCTACTATCGAATAACCTGACATATTTAGTTATTTTTGTTTTTAATATGTTTGAAGAAAAAATGATATTAGTCTAGAGAAAAAAAATACAAGATGTTGCTTATTGTTAATAATATCTATTTAAAAAAAAATAGATTTAGAAAAAAGAACAAGACGAGATTTTTTTATCTGAATAGATAGTGAAATAAATAATAACTGGAAATAATAATCCATGGAAATGAACCAATAATTCCACCGGACAATGTATAACTTGAACTAAAAAATAAAATAAATAAAAAAATAAAAAAATAATTTAAAAGAAAATGTTATACTGTAAACTCGAATATGTATATCGACAATTTTTAATAATAAGAAACCAATTAAAATACATATCTGGTGTACAAATTGTTGTTAAACATAAATGAAGTATATAAATATATAAAAAAATATTTGTTAAAAGATATTTTATCATTAAAACATTTACATTTATATCAAATTCTTCTTTACTTTTTCCAAATGGTAAACTAAACATTATTATTTTTACTTTTTATTTGTTTTTTTTAAATTTTTTCTTAAATAAAATAAATCTTACCAATAAATATATGATTTATTTGTTATTAAACATAATTTTCTATAATAATAAATAATTAAAATAATTAAAACAAAGACAATAGCTGTTTCCCATGGAAGAATTTCTGCATAGGATAATGTAAATAATATATAATGAAATAAAATATATATTATTGATGATATATAATCAATTGAATATTTCTCATAATCGGTTTTTTCTTTTAATATTAAACAAAAATAAATAATTAATGATATTAGTAAGAATATCCAATTTATTGATGATATTAATGTTAATAATAATTTAACAAATAAATCATTTATTAATATATATATTAAAGAATTTTTTTCATTCATTTATCTATAACTATTTTTTAAATAAAAAGAAAACTCACAAGAGACTATTTTCATTTTTCAATAAGTCATAAATCACTTTTATTTTCAAATCATAGAACTAAAATTTTATTTCAAATTGAAATAATTAATCAAATAGATCATATTACATATAGATAAACAAAAACTCGATAGAATCTATATTATTTGCCTTTTACAATATCATTTTATTCTACACAAATTAACTGTTCAATCAGAACTCATTTCATATATCTATATACATAAGCGCAAAAAAAAGCAAAAGATATATCCTGAGAAGAACAAAACAAAACAAAAAAAACGATGAAAAGAAATATTATTGTTCATCGATTAATGGTTCAACAACTAATAAATCCATTCGTGATGTATTTTTATCTTTAAATGATGATGCTATAAATAAAGCAGCTTCTCGATGTGATAAACCTTTCATTGAATATCCATTTAAACCAACAATAACATGACCAACACGAAGACCACTTGATACATATGCACAACCATCAGGCTTAATAACAAAAGCAAATATAATTCATTTATTCATCAATACAAATAATTACATTTTTTACATTTATTTCAAATAACAGAATAAAAAAATCTTAGTACAATTCATATATGCATATTTGCTTACCTTTTTGACTGAATAAATCAAATTTTTTTTTTCCTGTAACATCTTCTCTGTCTTAGACTGCCTATGTTGTTACTCTAATTATATAGAAAAAAAAACTAGTAGATTTACAGGAAGAATCATAAGTAATCTTCTCCATCGGAATATTTGAGATTCTCTATTGAAAGAAAAAAAATAATAATTTCATCAGGACTTGAAGAGAACGAAGGAGTGGATACGACGAAACTCAGACTTTTACGAATCTACATTATAGGAGAAGAATTTTATAAAAATAAATCCTATTAGTTAATGATGTTTGATTGAAAAATAAATTCATTTAATTATTATAAATAACTAATATAAAAATATAAATGGAATCAACTCGATTTTTTTTTTGTCTTGCTATTCATACTAAGAAATAAATTTTTCTCTCAGAAATACTTTCAGTGAAAGACAAAAAGTTGAGTTCTAGTTAAGATATATGAATAATTATGTTTGTCTATGTTAATATTTAATTTTTGATGAGTTTGAAAAATGTTTAAATAAAAGTAAATAAAAACCTGCATATAAACAATTCTTGGTAATGGAATTCTATCTTGAAAACCACCTTCAATAGCCACACCTAATGTTGAACGAACTTTATGAATTGTTAATGGATAAGGTGATGAATAATCCTATTAATATATTATTTAATTTTGATTTATTATGAAAAAAATCTGTTTACTTTGAGAAAATTTTCAATAATATTCATTTGTTCAATAGTTAAATTAGATCGAGATTTATTCAATGATAAATATTGTTCTTGTTTATCAACATTATGAAGACTTTTTGTTTTTCTTAATGAATTTCTATGTTCAGATAAATTATTCATTGAACTATTTTTATTTTCAGTTGAAAATTTTCTTTGAATTTTTGGAGAATATTCATCAAATGATTTTTTTATTTGTTCATTCAATAATAAAGATTTTGGACGAATTAAACCTTGATCTTTTTCAATTGATAAATTTTCAACTGATTTCGACTAACAAAAAAAAAAAAGAAAATTTTTTAAGAACTTAAAAATAGAAAAATCCAATCAATTCAAACCATATTATTAATTGGTGGTTGAAGTGACATTCGTGTTGGTGATAAAGAACTTCGAACAAGACGTTCATGAGATAACTAAAATTAGTTAAAATACAAGAAATTTTTATTTTCAAATTCAAAATTTAAATTTTATTTTTTAAAGATAACGTTAGTTTGCTTTTTTTGTTTTTCAGTGAAAAAGATTGTAAGTTGTTTAGTTACACAACATAAAGCAATATCGGCAAAAAAACACAAAAGAGCTATACAAACACACACACACACATGTCATATATCATCTGCTTTTTTTTTACCTGTTTTATATGTTTTTTTTTTTTTTTATTACTAGAATGGAATATTATCTTTTTGGACATTTTATTTTATTTAAAATAAGTCTAACTAACCTTTAAAGTATTTAAATCATCTTTTATTATATTAATATCAAAACGATCAAGATCATTTGGACGAATAAATCTTCTAATTGATTCAATTATTTCATTCTTAAATAATAGAGATTTATTTTAGATTTAAAAAAAATAAAAGGTAAAATATATAAAGAAATTTACTCTATATTGTTGATATTGTTTATTTAAAATTTCTAATAAAGGTTTAATTAATTGATCAATATGAATTTGATTTTGTTCATATTGATAAATAAGATGTTTTATTTTAAATTGATCATCTTTATCAATAATTAATTGAAAAAAATTTGTTTTTGAATTAATTAAATAATTTGATAATGATGATGAAACATTATATTGAGATTTATTTTTATCTAATTTTTTTTGAAATATTCGAGGACTTGTTCGAGTTGATATTGAATTTATTTTTTGAATATTATCTTTTGGTTTAGGTAATTTATTTATTTGTCTTAAATGAAATGACATTTTATCAATATTTCTTAATAATTGAACAGCATCAGAATGTGTTATATGAAGAAAATCAATTCCATTAACAGATAATATTTGATCACCAATACAAAGACCAGCTTGATCACTAAGAGAACCTTTATCAACACCTGATATAAATATTCCAAGACCATATTCAGCACCACCACGTATTACTAAACCAAGACGTTTACCTTTTTCAACTAAAACTGTTACCTAAATTTTAATAAATCTTAGGTTTTTTCTTATATTAGTTCAACCTAAATAAACAAACTGTTCTTTCAAAATAAGGTAATTGAGCATCTATTGATAGATAATTTCCAGGTGGTGGAGATGTTGAACACTGTTGCATTGGATCATACCAATCATATAATGTTGCATCAACAGCATTTACACGAAGTGTTCGAATTATTATATCAAGTTCACTTGCAGAATGTAATATCTTAACAATAGATTGTTTTTTTTGTTCTTTTTTTTTATTAAGATTAATTCATAAATTTACTTAGAAAACGATAATTTATCATTTTATACGCAAAAGAATTTTCATTGTCAATAAGAAGAATAGATCGTGATGATGATCATTATTTAACTGTCTTCTCAGAAGAAGATCTTTCAATATTTATTCATTCAACCCCGAAAACAAACAAACATTGACACTGAAACAGTATCATTTAACTACTAGAATTTATCTTGGGTAAACGTCTACGCAGATCGTGTTGCCGTCGTCGGTATGAACGATAAAGTGTAGATTTTTGAGATAATCTTCAATGTTCAAGCATTCTCTTATCGAATTTCTTGTCTATACATTCTCTATAATCATCATCCTCTTTCTACATTTAAAAATTTATCGGTACTAACAAAATTTTTGAAAAAGTCTTGACAAATTTTAGCCACTATTAGCATAAATCAAGGCAAAGCAAAACATATAAATGCTGATATCCAGAGATAGGCAGTTCCGAGTCCGGAGCGCCCGCTCCAGAAACGGAGCGATTCATCAGAACGGTGGAGCTGTCCATCTCTGCTGATGTCGTAGTAGAATAAAAGAGAACACTTCAAAAGGTTCTATATTACTGGCCGATAGAAAGAAAAAAATATATATATTAAATAACAAATAAGACAGTCTATCACTTAAAAGGGTTTGCATATCTCATAGTTTTGTGTAAATAAAATTAGCCATACTGTATTGAAAAAGCTGTGTCGCACAATCTCTGAGGGATTAAAATGTGAAACACAATATAACTGTTGTTACTAATCACCAGAATATTATTTTATTCGATCTATCTGCAAATCTATTTTTCATTAAATTTTACTTATCCTCTAGAACTCAAAACGAAACCAGTTTATATACTTTCATGACAGCTTAGTAATACATAACCAGTGATCATGCATTAGAAATCCTTGTCACGATCTGTGATGAGTGGATCCAAATTTCTAGTTAATATACTTCAACACTTTTTTGAAATCATGTTTCACAAAAAAGAGAAGGTAGAATGTATTGATCACTATTGTGAAAGTGATTAATAAAATAAATATATAAAAAAGAAAAACAAACTTGAAGAGCTTGTGCATAATTAATATTTTGTTGAAATGAAATTCCATTAATAGAAATAATTTGATCTCCAGGTCTCATTCCTTGTAAATAAGCTTGTGAAGCCCAAACAACAGAAGTAACTTGAATAGGTTGATGATCATTTCCACCAGTTATTGTAAAATCTAATGTTCCATTATTAGATTTAATATGAATTCGTTTTGTTAAAAGACGACTTGGACCAAAATAATATCTTTGATGAGAAGAAAATGATTCATCTTCTTTTAATGATGATGGAGAAGAAAACATTTTATCTAGAAATCAAAAAATAACGATTGAAAAAAAAAATGATTAAAAGACAAAAAAAAATTAGTCTAATATTGTTGTTTTTATGATTTTGTTTTTTTTCTTCCTCTAACAAATGTCATCATAGCTTGAACAAACTCTTCTGTTAACCAACGTTGTTTTAAATTTTCAACTTCATAAGAATTAACACGATGAAAAGTTTCTTTAGTCCATTTTTGCATTAATGATTTACTTGCTAAAAGACTTCCATGAGGTAATGATAAAATATGTTGACAAATTTTATCTTTTTCTTCTTCAAATAAATTTTGATCAATAATTTTTGTAACCAAACCACGTTGTTGAGCTTCTTCAGCTGTTAATTTTCGATCAAATAAAAGAATATCTTTAGCATGAAGTGAACCCATTAATGATGGAAATGTCAATGATGAACAACCTTCAGCTGATTGAGCTGTTCGAGTAAATGGTAATGAAAATGTTGCATTAGATGATGCATATACACCATCAAATAATCCTAATGTTGACACTGATATACCAACTGCTGGACCATTTATAAATGCAATAAGAATTTTTGGAAAATCAATATATTTTCCAATATATTTTTCTAATAATATTCGACCAAGTTCAACTGATTCTTTTAAATTTGTTGATGATGTCTAGTTATTAGAAAATAATTCATTTTATTAGATCGAATTTATCAATTCTAATCGATGAATCGAAAAATTTTTCGATAAAAAATATCTTTCGTCATTTTTCAATCGATTAATATGAAACAATGAATTTCAAACTGAATTTTATGCTTTTTTGTCCAACTTACGCTCAGAAATTTTGTTCTACTCATAAGTTAACAGTTTTTTTAGTGAAGATTTCGAAGTAAACTTTGCATAGAAGCAGTTATACTAGCAAATCCAGAGAAAAAAAAACAAAAATCTCTAATCGTATCTCTTTTACAATTGATTCCTTGTTGTTTTTCAGTGACTTTTTTCTGTCGTAAAGATGTCCAATTTAGCTGATGTTTACTTTGTTCTATTTGACAGTATGACGTTTTCAAATCAATTGTATTGTCATCTAGACAATATATGTTATGACCAGCAAAAAAATGCTCCTCATTAAAAACTTCCTATTCAAGATTTTAAGTACAACATCAAAGTTGAGAGGACCTTCAACAAATTAAATTAGGAATCAAGAATCTCGCATAAATCGTTGGGAAATGATTGAGTTCTTGTTAAAATTTTTTAAATAAAGGAGTTATGAAAATATGGTTGTATCTCTTCCTAAGACTTTGATAACTTGAATAAGTCTGATCAAAAACAACTAATGAGACAATTATTTTCTATAAAAATGCTGATTCTTTCTTTGACTGTATCCGGAATAAATTTAACGTCTAGTGTCGATGCTTTTTTTTTGTGCAGTAAACCTCATCTAAACATTATTTTGAAGCTTTCTCAAGTTTTATTAATATAACTGTCAATCAATGAGTCCCATAATAATTCTGAGTAAAATCAATTGTTCGAAAATTTTTGTTAATTCTCTTAATCAGTCGAAAAATTTCGTGAAGTACACTTCATCTCACTCGTTAATACTATTTATATTCGAGTCCGATAATATTGATTTGATCTCCCTTATTAAAATTTGAAAACTCGATAAATATAATAAAATATTTCGAAATCATACTTCTAAGTGAGATTTATCAATATTTCTAATATTGTTGATCACTGATGAAAATTTCATCTTAGATCAACTAAAAAATTTCAAAATTTCTCTTGAATTCGTTTAAGATCAATTTTGATAAATATGAATATTTTCTATAATTCATTTTTTTTTTCTTTCGATTTTTAAAATAAAAACGAGGATGAAAATAGATTTTAATTGAATAAAACTCGATGAAATCAATCTTGATTTTAACTTCATAGTTCGTTCGAAGTAACATAAAGAATAAAGAAAAAGTCGCGTTTGATTTTGTTTTAATTATCTGTAGAAATTGCAATATGTTTTTGTATAAATGAAAAGTCTTTTTAAAATAATAATTGAAATTAAAAAAAAGTCTTACAGCCATTTTAGCAAAATCTGCTAAATCTGTTCCAGCTGAATAAAATTTTCCTTTTCCAGTAAATGAAATAAGAATTAATTGTTTATCTTGAGTAGCTTGATCAAATATTTCCATAATACGTTCATACATTGGTCGTGTTATAGCATTATATTTTTCTGGTCTATTAAGTACAATTTCCCAATGTGATGGACTTTTTTTTATTAGTTCAACATGTTCTTCTGTTGATTGACCTTTTTCATTTGTTGTTTCTTCACTTGTAGATGTTGAATTAACTTGATCTAAAATAAATTATTTCTTTTTTTTTTATAAAAATAAAAATAAAAATAAAAATAAAACCCTAACTGCTTGATGTTGAAGAAGAAACTAATTGTTGAACAGTTTGAATATATTGCTTTTGTGCATCTTGTTGATTCATTTTTCCTAATGAAGACCAAGCTGTCCATTTAGCACGAGCAACAAAATCAGTTAAACCAGGTTTTGATGTTGAACAAACACCTGTTGTTGCTTGTTTATATAAAGCATAAAGTTTCAATTTAGTTTCATTATCAACTTGAACAGATGATGATTCTAAACGAGATTTTGCTGTTTCAAAATCCATTGATGAAGATAATTCATTTGATGCATATCGACGAATTATATTATTTATTTGAAATAAACGAAATATTGACAATGAAGATTTCATATCTGAAAATATTTTCTTTTTTTTTTTTAAAAATATATAAAAGACTTTTTCATTTTTCTAATTAAATCTTAGATTTCAAATATTGACTTTTTTCATATTTAATATATAAATAATTCAATTTATTTTCATTGATTGAAAATAATTTATTTTATTCTTAGAAATTTATTCATTAAAAATAGATAAGTCAATTGTTTCACCTGAGATAAGTCCATCGGTCATATTGACAAGACAAAGTCTACATTTTATTTTACTGCTTTATTACTTCGGATTTGTTTTCTCGTTATCGTAACAAAGATTCGTACGAAAGAAAATGTTACAGGAGCAACGGTCATCAAATTTCATAAAATGCTCTTGATAAGATTATTCTATCAAAACGTTCTCTTCAGTAGAGGTTATTTCAAAGTTCAAAACGATGGACTCAATCTTTGGAGGGTCAACGGTCTATCAGGTTCCACCTAGAATAATCAACTATAAATTGATCATGCATCAATTTAATAGAAACTTTTTCCTCACCTTATTAGATATATTTTTGTCGAAGTTCAATAAATAAATATTTCGAAAAGATTAGTCAATTTAATGTTAGTTAACTTATTCAATTTTTCAATATTTAAACTCAATTGGAAACAAATTACTTTCTTTATGACAATTATTCAAAATTAATTAAATCGATAGAAATCAGGGATCTATTTTTTATTTTATTATTGGAGATTTTCTATGATTTCTAATGGCTTCAGATTGTTTCCGATAATTTAAAACGATTTCCATTGATTATTCATATGGTTAAGGTATTCAAATGATGTCTATGGATTTTCATCGTAGAAGTCAGTTTGTTCCCCTTTTGATCAAATAAATTGAGTAAGTAGAAAAAAAAAAAGAATCCTTATGAGTAAAGATTTTCAATGAAGTAAGAGATCTAATCTGATCTATTTAAAATAATAAATCATATTAATAATCTTAAATCAATTACATAAGGAAATTTCATTTGTTTTACGTAGATTTTTTTTTTTGAGAAAATGGAATTCATTTGAGAGAAATAATATCGTTTTATGTATTAAGAATAATTCTTATTTTCATATATTTAGAAAAAAAAAAGACTTTTAAAATTTGCATTTGCTTATGGATGATAAAATCCGTTTCGAAAAGAATTTTGAATTTATTTCTGTAAAAAGAACGTGAAAAATCGTTTTTCTCTTTACTTTTTTTTTTAGTTTATTCAAATGAAAAATTTGTTTTATTTTCCTAAAATATTTCCATCTTAAATTCAAATCTATAATCATAACAGACTAAAATAAAATAATCCTTTAAGAAAAAAAAATCGTTCGAACAAAAAAAAACTTTTTACTTTAAAATGAATTGAAAATAAATAGTTAATCAATTGAATAAATAATATTTTTATTTCTAAAATAAATCTTTATTGAAATTAATTTTCATAAATTGTCTTTTCAATTAATTATTTATCTAAAGAAAATCAAAATCTTTTTATTAAATTATATTTTATTTTATTATTATTTTCAACGGTAAAAAACATATTTCATTTATAGAATTATTCAAATTTTCCTCTTTATTATCAATAATAAAATAATTAACTATCAATTAATGATCAAATATTTCAATTATATATAAATAAATTCATCGAAAGGCAAAAAATGAGTTTTTTATTATTTCGATCAATTCAATCAAAAAAGTTATTTGAATAAAACCTCGATATAAAAAATATTCTTTAATATGAATCATTTTATATTTATTTTTATTATTCGAACATGTTTTCGTATAAAAATTTTCTAAGATTAAATCAATCAAATATAAAATGATTCATTTCATATCGATTTTATGATGTAAACAAATATAAACATATTTAGATTATACCAAAATTAGTATCGGAGATAGCTTTATTCTCTATAGAAAGGTTGAGAAAAGTTTCTTTCTGTAAGCTTAGTATTATACGATTTGATGTATCTTCATATCCTTTTTTCGAATAGCAAAAATTGCAGTTCTCTATCATGTTTCTATTAAAATTTATTCAAAAAAATTTTCACACGCATTTTTTTCGTTACTGCTATCATTACATACCATAGCAAATAGTTCTATATTGAAATTTTGAAGCAAAATAAACAATTCTTTTTTTACTATCACTATATACAGAAAGAAATTTTTTTCGAATTTTCTATAGAGAATTAAACTATCTTCAACATTAATTTTGATATGAATTAAGTATTTATTTATTAAACAATAAAAGTGATGAAAATAAATAAATTTATCTAGAAATAAATCAAAAAAAAAAAAGATTTATCTTTTCTTTAATTTGATGTTGGTTATTAATGTTTGTTTGAATACTGACTAAAATAATAAGATGAATAGATAACAAAAGATAACCTTGAAAGTTCAAGGTCCACCTAGAAAAGAATAGACGAGTTGATACTCTTCTATTATAATGATAATGAGAATAGTTTCATTTTTTTTTGATTGGTCTTAGATTTTTACTAATAAGATAGACGTAGAAAAATCACAATTAATTATAATGACATCTATCATTTCGAATCATTTTATCTTATATAAATAATCTATTATGAGGATCTAAACATATATTTATTAGTTAAATAAAATATTAGAAAAAAATAAATTTCAAAAATATTTAATTTTAATTATTCTTTATAAAATAAAACTCGATTGATTCGATTTTCGTGTTTTGTTTTTCTTTTCTTTTCTTTTCTTAAAATTCTTTTATCATTAGTTCACTATTTACATATATTTTATGTTTATATAACAAAATAGAATGTTTGTTTTTATAAAATTTTTCCAAAAAAATCTTATCTTATTCAATATCAAAATAGAGAATTAGTATTTATTTTAGCTTTTTTTTTTCTCGATGAAAAATAACAAAGTGAATACAGTTTGAGAAACTATATAAAAGGGCAATGAGGGCGCTTTTTTTTTTATAAACCTTTTTTACCAGGCACGTCAACGAACAAGCAAAAAAAAAATATGCGCTTTCTCCCTGGTAACACGCACTATAAATTCGATAGACAGATTATTTTGTTTATAACTATTATTCGAAAAAAAAGTAAGATATCTTTATATTGTAGAGAGTAGTTATTATATTCTTAGTTGAATATTAGTCAATTGTTGAAGTGTCTATTTAAATAAATGTCGTCTGAAGCATTTGTAACATTAGTAACAAACGATAGCTATGCACTTGGAGCACTTGTTCTTGCTAAATCAATTCAATCGGTTGGAACACAACGAAAATTAGTTGCTCTTATATCAAATAATTTATCTGCTCCATTAAGGTTATTATTTATATAAAATAAAAATAAAAAAAAACTTTTTTCTTTTAAATTTTATCTTTATTCTATATAGAGAAATATTAGAAAAAACTTTTAATGAAGTTATTCTTGTTGAAGAATTAGATTCACGTGATAGTGAACATTTACGTTTATTATTACGTCCAGAACTTGGAATAACATTTACAAAAATAAATTGTTGGCTTTTAGAACAATATACAAAATGTGTTTTTTTGGATGCTGATTGTCTTGTTTTACGTCAAATAGATGATTTATTTGAAAGAGAAGAATTTTCTGCTGCACATGATGCTGGTTGGCCAGATTGTTTTAATTCAGGAGTTTTTGTTTATCGTCCATCAAAAGAAACATATACAAAATTAATGCAAGTTGTATCGGGAAAAGATGCTTCATTTGATGGTTTGTTTGCTTTTTTTTTTCTTCTTAATAAAAAGATTTTATTTTATTTATTTTATTAAAGGTGGTGATCAAGGTCTTTTAAATGAATATTTTTCAAATTGGCGTTCATCTGATATATCTCGACATTTACCATTTACTTATAATGTGACATCAAATGCATTTTATTCATATTTACCAGCAATTACAAGGTAATATATTAATCTATTTATTAATTTTTCACAAAAATTTCAAATAGATTTCGTAATGAAATTCGTATTATTCATTTTGCTGGTGCATTAAAACCATGGCAATTAACATATAATCCAGAAAATGAACAATTATCAGGAAATTTAGAAGGACAAAGTGATGTTCAAAGAGATTTTCTTCTTTCATGGTGGAGAATAATGTATCAACAAGTTTGGCCACTATTATCAACCTTTAACCAAGTAGGTTTTTTTTTCCATTTATTTATTTGCTTATTTGCATGGTGTGTTTACCCTTATCGCTTCAGCAAACCGATTTCATAAACAAATCATCGATTAGTCCACAGGTAATACAATTTTTTTTTCTTTTCTTTTCTTTGCGTTATATGAGAATAAACAGAACTAAAAAAATTTTCCTTTGTTTAATTAACTATCCAATTTATTATTTTATTAATGAAAATTTTTACAAAAGATAGCGAGATTACTTAAAATAAATATATAAAAACTTCAGATTTATTTTTAAAATTTTTAAATAGAATTTTGATGATAAACGGTATAAATATTTTTTATTCATTAAATGATTTGCTTAATATCCAGCATCTTGTTTGTTTTTTTTTATTTGAAAAGTTTGAAAACCATAAAATCTTGCATGTATTTTCATTTTAAATAAAGTTATCGATCAAGCAACTTAAAAATATAAACACAATTCATAAGGAGGTTTTTTTAAAAATCAAATCTTTTTTTTTTATTAAAAAGTGAAGATTACACAAATTAATCTTTATTTTTTTTTCTTTTTATAAAATAAGCAAAACAATGATAAAATATTATTTGAATAAATAATATTAAAAAAAATTTATTAATATAGGGTCAATTAATTGATTCATCTAATAATAATAATTCATCAAATAATGATACAATTCAACCCGGCTCAGCAGAACATCGTCGAGCATGGGAAACTGGTCATATTGATTATACTGGTCGAGATTCATATTCACATATTCAAGAACAACTTGAACGTAATATAGCTCATGTTTCACCAAAATATCATCCATCACATGAAAAACAAACAACACCCGAAAGACAATCAACACCTGACAAACCACCTAGTATTCTTAGAAAGCCAACTAAAGAAGTTCCAACAACTACTCAAATTCCTCAGTTTGTTTTCTTTTTATTTTATAATTTAAATAGATTTTATTCTTCTATTAAATAGACAATTAGCTGATTCAAATACTTCAACTGAAGAACAACATGCAACACCTGGTTGGAAAGTTAAATCAACAATTGTTACTACTCATACACAAGGTTAACAAATCATAGAACATATTTTATCTTGAACTTATTTTTTTTTTTTAAATATTCTTTTAGGCACAGGCCAATTTGCTGGACCGACTGTAATAAGAAAAACAGTGACTGAAAGTTCTGCTTCATCATCCGATAATCTTCCTCGAACAACATCGAATCAACAAGGTTAGATATCATTCATATTCAACTAAAACAATAATAAATAATCTTGTTTTGCTTTTAAATCTTGTACAGGTTCATCAGGAAACATTGAAGGAGGTGAGTAAATAATAGTGTGCTTTGCTTTTGGTTTGATTGGTTGGTTTTTGTGTTTGATTGTGCTTGGTTTATTGTCTAGCTAAAACGGCAAATATTCATATTGGTTGGCTTTTTGATAAACTTTGTATTGCAATAACATACATTTTCAGTTTGTGCTACTTTATGTTCCTCATCACTATTCAACGGTTCAACAACAGTAGTATTATTCGCGGTAAGATATTCGATAAAATGCATCGTTCAACCGGGAACACAATTTAGCACAAACGACTCTATCATTTTTTTTGCTTTTTTAAATTTAATCATTAGTTTTAAAAAACCAACAAATTTATTTTCCCGATTAGTCTTTAAAAAAATGAATTAAAGAAATAAATATTAATTAATTTTTTTGGTTCATTTTAGGTAATGAAAGATCTGTTCAAGGTGCAACATCATTACCATCATCATCAACAACAAAAGATGGAAAACGTGTCAACAAATAAATTCAATGATAAATATTCTTCCTAGTCAAATAGACATTCATGAAAGAAAAGTATATCGCGATTCTTTCTATTCAATCTTTCCGAATAGAGTGTATCATGCTTTTTCTCTTCATGTGATTCTTTTGATCAAAAGTCCTTTGTTGACTTTTTTTATAGTTATGTTTCCAATTAGTTATTTCAGTCATTCCAAATTGGTCTTAGACGATCATACATAAATGATCGCTCTTTTCTTTTTATTTTAATAAAGCTTTTAAAACATCTTAGCTAAATAATTTTCGATTATTTTATCACTATATATTTAGTTGTTATTACTTGATAAATTCATTTTATATACATTAACATATTTCATTATAGATAAGCAAAAAACAACCATTGTCAATATAATCAAATATCCTATGTTGATGTTTTTAGTCAATTTGTATCGATGAAAAAAAAATCTTATTTAAAATACACTCTAGATCGATACAAACAAAGAAAATAAATGACATTTCTCTTTTCGATGTTGACATCTAAGCAACAAGACAATATGTGAAATAGTAGATAAGGGTGTGGATATAGTGTGTACGTGTGATTCGGAATACGAACGAAGAGACAAACACTAACATCATCATCATCAACAACTCTATTGAATCCTGAAAGATTTGGATTTATCCTATATCTAATTTTAACATTGATATCATAACAGTGAAACAATCATTTTACAGTACAATGAATGCGTCCTTTGAATTGAATTACAGGATAGTTCCATTGCAAATCTTTCACATTTACGATGATTTCTAGTAGCCAAGTTAAAACTTCTTCAATTCAAGGCTTCAATACCCTAGCACATTTAGTGGAAAAATCCGACAGATTTTCAATCAGTACCATGGTTTTATTAAGATCACAAGATACCAGTATTCAGTATAAAATGATTATTTTCATGATTTTTCATCATTTTGAAGTATTGACTTTTTCTTATAGCTAGAAACGAAAATTTGAAGTTTTTATACATACATATTGTACCAAGTTAGTAGTTTCAGTACATCACTATATTTTCCCATTCATATTATTGATATAGAGATTGAATTGATGTGAAATTATGTAACAAAGAACGAGAAAATTTCCAAACTAATCTATTTTCTTGTGTACTGTTGTATATCATTACATAATGATTAGCTATTAGTTTCAGTCATGTTATATAGAATGTATCTAGTATCTATTGAAAGATATAATAATCATAGGTTCAAAATGTTTCTATTGGTAAGTAAGGAAATCCAAATGGTTACACTGGTGATGTGTGCGTTTACAAGCAAGAGTTTTGTCTTTAAAAACTAATTCTATATCTTCATATCTTTTGCTTTTTCTCGCTTATAAAATGATTTAACGCAAAAACAAACTTGATGTAGAGATTTTATGGAATAAATATAAGTTTATCACAGTGATTAAATAACGATCTTCAGAAAACAAAGAATGTATTTCTATAGCATTTAAATAGTATCTAAAGAGGAAAGAATAGAATGTTACCGTCAAATCTACTCTAATGAGCTGCTCTTTTTTTGAGGATAAAGGAAAGTTGTAAGTTTTTATTGACAAAAATAAAATTCATAATTTTACTGACAAAAATGCTTTATCCTTGATATTTCTATAAAAGTAATCCTTTTTTTGTTTTCAAACATATTTTTTTCATATTTGTTCTGTTATTATGGAATTCCATCCTTAAATCTTTCATTATTGTTTTAGAAATATTTGTTTCGATATATTCGTAGAAAAAAAAAATCAATAATATCAAGTGTAAGAATTGTCAGGATGTTGAAATTGTCCTATCTGTCTTATTTTGTTGATTTTCATTGTGATTCTTAATTACACTCTTCAGATAGACAAAAATAATTCTCATTTACCTACTATTTTATTCGATCGGAGATATTACTCTTTATAGTGTGTGGGTGTCAGCGTCTGTAGGTTTATGTTTAGATAAGGCAAACTATTATACAAACATCCGCGGTCACACTCATATCCTTTTAGTAACAGTATATTGTTTCTTTGATTCATGATGACTGATATTTATCATTTGAATTAAATCAACAACGAAATACTAGTATATAGGGTGTTCAGTAAGTCATAAAACATGCACACTAAAAATTGAATATCTCCATTACGGCTCGAGCAAACGAGTTGATTTTCTTACCAAAAATAGACGTATGTTCACACTCCAAACCTGTATGGACGAGATTAGTGAGAACCTATGGTGAGCATATTGTTTTCTTTTCCTCTCTGTGAACAAATAAAATTTTCTTGTTGAGGTCAATAATGGTATTTAATAAAGGTTCTCACTGACCTTGTCTGTATGAATTTGGAGTGTGAACATGCCTTTATCCTTGGTAAAGAAATGAGTTCGTTTGGTCGAGCTATAATAGAGATATTCAATTTTTAGTGTATCTGTTGCATGACTTACTGGACACTCTATCGATGCAAGTTTGAGTAAAGGTAGCCACTGTATTCAAGTATCGTTGGTAATAGTTTTATAGGTATAGGAAATTAAGTCGAATATTTAGTATTGAAAAAAGTATACTATGTGTCTGATTTCAAGTGATTTTAACTGAACTTGCATTCGAAAAAATAATAGCCGAATTAATTATTTTCTGAAAAAGTTAGCTTCACATTGTCGTGATGATTAGCTTTTTTGATTGTGTATATTTTAAAAATATATTTCAATCACTTGATAGTTTATTTAAAAAATAAACGTATGTGATAAAAAGATCCATTCGTACAAAAGAGAAAAAACATAATAGCACTGGCAAATACGACATGATAAAAATAAAGTATTTCAGTTACTGTAACATTTTCTCATTCTCTTTAAAAAAATCTATAAAACTTTCATAATAAAATTTATTACCAAATTTAGTGCCCAGACATAAGTGCCGTTTGTTACGCTCTCTATAAACAGCTGGTCTATCACAGACAGATCGCAATCAATGTATATGTATGAAGGGTATGGGTTGGTGTGGATATGAATGTGATATGAGTAGATGTGAATCATTTGCTCACCCACACACCACACCCGCATCCATACCCATACACTCACACTTGCGAGCACACCCGCAGCCCATACTCTACACCATATCTCTCTATAAAGGTAAACAATGAATTTTAAATAATCATATCTGGGAAGAATCAAAACTTACTTGATCTTTGCTGACATATCTGCTAAACATAGCAGTAGAAAGACCAATGTTAAAAAAAATTGTTTGAATTCACTTTATCTTAAAAATGCGATATTAATGATTATCATGAGAAGAACAACTAAATTTAACGATAATCGCATTATTGTACGATACAAACAGCTACAGGAGCACAGAATGTCTACAAAAGGAAAAAATGATGATTGTGGTAAATAGAATTCATCCAGAGCTTCATCAAATAATAACTATTTGTTAAAAAAATCAACAATATGCAAATACTGTCGCTTTGCTAATCGAAGAGGAATTATTTTTTCTAACTTAACAATATTTTGAATGATTTGCAACCGAAACCAGGCTAATGCCAACTGTATATTGTACGGGCACATTATTATCTACAACATATGTAG